TCGATGATGCAAAGGGATAGTTCAAATATATAATGTTTACTTACAACAACCTTAGTACATTTCAAGAGTCCTTTAAATCAAATATAATTCGTAGGCTGCCTATTTTCCGTCTTTTTAAATTTTCTTTACTTTTCCTCTCCTCTCCTCTCATTTTCTTTTCTTTTCTTTCCTCTCCTTTTCCTTTTCCTTTTCCTTTTTTCCATAAACGAACGCCAAGGTTTAGTTTTTCTTATCGTTCTTTTCCAATCTTTTCTCTTTTCTTTTCTTCTTTTTTTTTACTTTCATTCTTTTCTGTTCCGTTCTATTCTCTTCCATGTTTCTTCTCTTCTCTTTTCTTTTAGTGTTCTATTCTCTTTCATTTTTCTTTTCTTCTCTTTTCTTTTCATTTCTTTTCTTTTAAGTCGACTGCATCCTCCATGCGGTTTCACTCATACACGAACGCCGAGGTTTAGTTTTTTTATATTCTTTTCAATTATTTTCTTTTCTTTTCTTTTCGGTTCTATTCTCTTTAATTTTTCTTTTCTTCTATTTTCTTTTACTGTTCTATTCTCTTCCATTGTTCTTTTCTTCCCTTTTCTTTTCTTTTCTTTTAAGTCGACTGCATCCTCCATGCGGTTTCATTCATACACGAACGCCGAGGTTTAGTTTTTTTAATATTCTTTTCAATTATTTTCTTTTCTTTTCTTTTCTGTTCTATTCTCTTTAATTTTATTATATTTTCTTTTCTTTTACTGTTGTTCTTTTCTTCCCTTTTCTTTTCTTTTTTCCTTTAAGTCGACTGCCATCCTCCATGCGGTTTCATTCATACACGAACGCCGAGGTTTAGTCTCGGAGGCGCAATAAAGGCAACAATCTTGGCGGTCGATCTGAAAACGCTTGAGGCTCCTTCTGGCTATTTAATTGCAGTTTTAATGAAACGTCGACAGACCTAATAAAAAAAAAAGAGAAGAGAGGGAACCACGCTAATGACTGATGAAGGAAAAGAAGCGGAAAGTTTTCTTCTTTTCTTTTTTTTTGTATTTGCTTTTAAAACGTCTTGCTTTTGAATCGTTCTCGTTCGTAATTTCAAACCGATAGATTTTCTAATGTTATTATATTATTATTTTTCTATTAAATATCAGAAATGTTATCATCAGCCTGATTGACAGACTAGATAACATTTAATATCAGATTTGCCGTATGATAAACTTCGGTGAGTTTAACTAGGATTCTTTTAGCGGACGAAGTGAAGCAAAATTCAGTACGAGAACGAGAGAGATAAGAAAATATAGAGAAAGAAATAGTAAAGAGTAGATAGAGAGAGGAAATAAAGATTAGACAGAGAGAGAGCTGGTAAAGAGTGCATAGAGAATGAGGAAATAAAGAGTAGACGGAGAGAGAGGTAGTAAAGAGTAGATAGAGAGAGAGGTAGTAAAGAGTAGATAGAGAAAGAGGTAGTAAAGAGTAGATAGAGAGAGAGGTAGTAAAGAGTAGATAGATAAAGAGGCAGTAAAGAGTAGACAGAGAGAGAGAGGTAGTAAAGAGTAAATAGAGAGAGAGAGGCATATAATGTTAATGGATAAAACCACGTATTTATTTTATCGCATTGAAACCTTTACACATAGAAAGTATTTAGAAACTAAATTGACTTCACTGAATCTTTCCTTCAATGTTTTTTTTTTTTTTTTTTTCATTGTGTATTAAAGATCAGTTTGCAGGAGAGTGTTATTATACCGAGGTTATAAACGCGTTGTTTACGTTATTGTGGTTTAAAGAAGGTCGGTTGATGTCTTTGTCGTTGTTTTTGTTTACGCTTTTCTTTCCTTTTAAAAATAGGAGGAAAATCGCTTGTCTTGTATGTATGTATGTATATATATATATATATATATATATATATATATATATATATATATATATATATATATATATATATTATATAAAATGAATTATATATATGTGTATGTATGTATGTATGTATGTATATTTTATAAAATAAATTATATATATTATATATATCATTTATAGTATATATATTATATGTATATTATATATAGTATATATATATTATATATATCATATATATATATATATATTATACGCATATATATATATATATATATATATATATATATATATATATATATATATATATATATATATATATATATATATATATATAATATATGCAATTGCGGAAAGGAAGAGAGAGGTAGTAAAGAGTAGTGAGAGAGAGAGAGAGAGAGAGAGAGAGAGAGAGAGAGAGAGAGAGAGAGAGAGAATGAGAGAGAGAGTAGTCAAGAGTAAGTAGAACAGCAAACCGTGCTCCTTAAAACAATTAATATTAGCGCCGCGTCTTGGCTAACCGTGATGCATTTACCTCACACTTTACGCTCATTAGTAATGCTAATTGTCGTTCGGTTACCGGCGGGGGGGGGGGGGGGGGGGGGGAATGAAGGCCTTTGTCCTCGCTGGCCGATCCGACCGTCATTCCCTGCCTGTTTTTTCTTTATTTTTCATTTATTTATTTATTTATTTTTTTTTAGAAAATAAATTTGTTTATTGTATGATCACATGCGTGTACGCAAACGCACAGAAGAACGCATACGCACACACGTATACACACATGCACGCACACGCACACACACACACACACAGACGTAGAAGAAAAAAAAAAAGAGAGCGTTAGTGAGAGAAAGATAAAGATAGAGAACGATCGTTAGAAAGAGAAAGAGGAAGAGTCAGACAGACAGAAAGCGTCAGAGAGAGAGAGAGAGAGAGAGAGAGA